GAGCTACTTCTAGGCCCGCCAGGGCTACACAGAAAAAAAACCCTATCTTGGAAAAAAAAATTTTTTTTTAAATGTTGTGAGATTTTTTTACTTTCTTTTTTTTCCTTTTGCTTTTGAAATCTAGTGTATATTTTACATATCAAATTGGACCAATTGCATTTCAAGAACTCAGAAGTCCCACGTTACCATCGGACCATGAGCTTTTGTAGGAGGAAACAGAAGAGAAATCAAGTGAGTTCCATTTGAAGTAGTTTTTAAAAGGGTAAGAAGAAAAGTGAACTGGGAAAAGGGTACAGGAAGGTAGGGATAGCGCCTCAAAGAGGTAGTCAGGGAGATGGACTATGAAGAAGAATCAGAGGAGTTGAGAAAAATTATGTAAGAGTTTTCCTGTCCTGCCTGCTCCCAATTAACCATTAGCCACTTCCCAAATAACTGACTCGGAGACTTAATATAAATTATAAATGCTTGGCCAATAGCTCAGGCTTAGACGTCTAACTAGCTCTTACATTTTAAGTTAACCCATATTCCTTATTTATGCTGTGCCACATGCCTTTATTAGCATGGCACGTTCATCTCCTGCTCCCTCTGTGTCAGGCTGGTGACTCCTGACTCCTCTGCCCTTCCCCTTCCCAGCGTTCTCAGTTTGGCTTTCCCACATAACCTTATTCTGCTCAGCTATTGGCCAGTCTACTTGTTTATTAACCATCAAAGCTAGAAATCTTCACAGTGTACAAAGGGATTATTCCATAACAAAATTACATCCTTTATTGTTTAGTGTTGCCCTGTAGACCATGTAGAAATTTTGGGTATGGGGCCTGGAAGATAGCTTAGTAGGTAGGAGGTTTGCTGTGCAAGCGTGCAGACCTGAGTCCAGACCTGGAGCACATAAACAGCCACTGTATTTGTGTAACCACATGGTGTGGGAGGCAACACTTCCCTATTGAACTTGATGTTGGGCACTTGACAGTAGCTAGTTAACTGAATAGCTAAATTTTTAGTTATATTTATGTGTGTATGTAGGTATGTGTAGGCTGAGTTTTCCTGTGCAGCAGCTGCTCCCAAATAATCACTCAATATTACTTGTAAATGCTCGGTTGATAGCTCAAGCTTATTACTAACTAGCTCTTAGAACTTAAATTAACCCATTTCTATTAATCTATGTATTGCCACATGGCTTGTGACTTTACCTGTCCTCCAGCATGTCTTGCTCCCTCCTTGTCTCCTGGCGACTCCACTCTCTGCCCTTTTTCCTCCTAGCATTCTCAGTTTGGCTGTCTGGCGTATGCCAGTCAGTTCTTTTTTAACCAATGAGAGTAACATATATTCACAGTGTACAGAAGGATTATTCCACAGCAGGTGTGTGTGTTTATGTTTACACATGCACAGGTGTGGTCACATGCATGTAGAAGATAGAGATCCCTCTGGTGTCATTTTGTTTGTTTGTTTGTTTGAGGCAGGGTTTCTCTGTGTAGTTTTGGCTGTCCTGGAACTTGCTGTGTAAACCAGGCTGACCTGGAACTCTCAGAGCTCTCCCTGCCTCTGCCTCCCAAGTGGTAGGATAACAGATGTGTGTCACCACCGCTTGCCTCCAGTGTCATTCTTTATGCACTGTCTACCTTGTTTTTCTGAGACAAAGTATCTTCATTGGCCTAGAACTTGCCAATTAGTCTAGGTTGGCAGACCAGGGAGCCCCAAGGATCTACCTGTGTCTTAGTTAGGGTTTTTATTGCTGTGAAAAGACATCTTGACCATGGCAACTCGTTTTGTTTTGTTTTGTTTTTTGTTTTTTTCCGAGACAGGGTTTCTCTGTGTAGCTTTGCGCCTTTCTTGGAACTCACTCTATAGACCAGGCTGGCCTTGAACTCACAGAGATCCACCTGGCTCTGCCTCCCAAGTGCTGGGATTAAAGGTGTGCACCACCACCGCCCAGCATGACCATGGCAACTCTTATAATGGAAAACATTTAACTGGGCCTGGCTTACAGTTCTGAGGTTTAGTCCTTTATCACAGTAGGAAGCATGGTGGCATGCAGAAAGACATGATAGATATTGGAGAGGTAGCTAAAAGTTCTACATCTGAATCTGCAGGCATATTGGACATGGCTTGAGCATCTGAGACCTCACAGCCCACCCCTAGTGACACACTTCCTCTAACAAGGCTACACTTCCTAATAGTGCCTTCTTTGGTGACTAAGCATTCAAATCTATGAGCCTATGGAGGCTGTTCTTACTCAAACCAAACCACTCCCTGATCTTCAGGCTTGTAGCCATATTATAATGCAAAGCTGCATTCAGTCCAGCTTCAAAAGTCCCAATATCTGTAACAGTCTCAACTCTGTTTAAAAATCCAAAGTCTCTTCTAAGACTCAAGGCAGAACTCTAGCCCCCTGTAAAATCAAAATAAAAAAGCGTATCACATACTTGCAACATACAGAGGCAGAGGATATCATTACCATTCCAAAAGGGAGGAAAGGGAGCATAGTGAGGAAATACAGGACCAAAGCAAGCCTGAAAACTCCAAACTGCATATCCATGCCTGCTGTCAAAGTGCTCTTCAGATCTCCAACTCCTTTCGGCTTTGTTAATTGTAACACACTTCTCTCTCTTGGGCTGATTCCACTCTTTGTTTGTAGCTTTCCTCAGTAGGTATCCTACAATTCTGGCTTTTCCAACATCTTGGGTCGTCTCCAAGGCAATCCAGCTTCGCCTTCACAGCATCACCCAATGCAGGCCTCCATGCAGGGACACCCCTGACACAGGCCTGACGTAAGTGGCTTTCCTTAGTTTCAGAGACATAGTCCATAACCTCTTTCTTTTATCCTTGATTCTAAAGTCAGAAGCATGTGTCTAAAGCTGCCAGGTTCTGCTGCTTGCTGGAGCTGGAACATGGCCCCCTCCTTCAATTATATCTTCACCAGATTTCTGTTTTTGATGGTTTCCTTCCCTGCTTAAACGTTTCTTAATTCCTTTTCAAAAGTTAAAAGCTTACCTGGTGTGATCTTGCCCTGAGGCCACCACTCCCTTTATTCCATTTAGCACCAGGCTTTTCTTTAATCTTTTTATCTCCTTGAAAACAGGCCTTAGTTCCATTATACTTCCTGATGCCTTTTCTCCTCAAACTATACTTTTTGTGTTTTCCCTTGTTCAGTTTGCACCATTAATCCAAAACTTTTCAGTTTAGCCTCAGGGAGACTTTTTAGAAAAAGGCAAAAAGAAGTCACATTATTGGGCAAAAACCCCACAAGAATCATCTCTAAGCTGTATACTAATGTTCTTCCCTTCTGAAACTTCTTAAGCTGGGCCCCCACAGTTCAAATTACCCTCAGCACTGCCTTCCATGCTCCTAGTAGTATGGCCCATTAAGCCCCAGTTAAAGTGTCCAATCACTTTTCTAGTACAGAGACCTATAGTCTTCCATATTCCTCCAAACAAAAGCATGGTTAGGCCTATCACAACAATACCCTAGTTTCTGGTACCAACTTCTGTCTTAATCATTGTTCTATTGCTGTGAAGAGACACTATGACTATGGCAACTTTTATAAAGGAAAACATTTAATTAGAACTGGCTTACAGTTTCAGAGGTTTAGTCCATTATCAAGCATGGCAGAATTCATGGTGGCATGCAGGCAAGCATACTGCTGGAGATGAGCTGAGAGTTCTACATTTGGATTCCCCAGACAGCAGGAAGAGAAAGAGCCACTGGTCCTGGCTTTGGCTTTTGAAACCTCAAAGCCCGCCCCCCAGTGACACACTTCCTCCAACAAAGGCACACCTACTCCAACAAGGTCTCACTCCTAATAGTGCTACTTTGGTGGCATTCTAATCTATGAGCTCTTCTTATTCAAACCACCACAGGTGTTTTGGCTATATGTATGTCTCTGTGTTACATGCATATCTGGCGCCCATGGAGACTAGAAGAAGGTGGGGGATACCCTGGTACTGGGATTAGGGAAAGCTGTGAAGCACTGTATAGGTACTAGGAATCAAAGTCAGGTCCTCAGGAAGAGCAGCCAGTGCTCTTAACCAACAAGCCCTTTCTCAGCCACCCCTACCCCAAGTATTGTGTAGCCCAAGCTGGCTTCAGACTTGGTGTGTAGCTGAAGATGACCTTAGACTCATGATCCTCTTGCCTCTACCTCCCTAGTCTTGGGATTACCAATATGTACCACTATGCATGGTTTTCCTTCATTTATATTCTATTGTTAATAATTGTCTTTTTGCGGTAGTGGCACACGCCTGTAGCTAGAGTTTTCCTGCCTTGCCCACAGTCAGGACAAATCTTTGTCACCTTCCAGTCCCACAGCTGCTCAGACCCAACCAAGTAAACACAGAGACTTATTTTGGTTACAAACTGTATGGCTGTGGCAGGCTTCTTGCTAACTGTTCTTATAGCTTAAATTAATCCATTTCCACAAATCTATCTATACCTTGCCACGTGGCTCATGGCTTACCAGCATCTTTTCATGCTGCTTGTCAGGGTGGGGGCTGGCAGTGACTCCTTCTGCCTTCCTGTTCTTTCTTTTCTCCTCTCTGTTAGTCCCGCCTATACTTCCTCCCTAGCCACAGCCAATCAGTGTTTTATTTATTGACCAATCAGAGCAACTTGACATACAGACCATCCCACAGCACAGCCAAGTGCAGACCATCTCAGACACCTGCACTCAGACCCGTGGTCCTAATCTTCCTCTGCGGACCTGCTGGGTAAAGCCACGAGGAACCCAAGAACAGGCTCCCACAAGACATACAGAACATTCCACAGCACACGCCTTTAATCCCAGCATTCGGGAGGCAGAGCCAGCAGGATCTCTGTGAGTTTGAGGTCAGCCTGGTCTGTAGAGCAAGATCCAGGACAGGCACCAAAACTACACAGAGAAACTCTGTCTCAAAAAACAAACAAACAAAAATGACTGTTTAAAAATTACATTAAATTTTTTTTTTAATTTTTTTGGTGTGTGTGTGTGAGAGAGAGACAGAGACAGAGACAGAGAGACGGAGACACAGACTTGAGGAAGTTGATTTGCCTCTTTCACCACATGGGGTCAAATTCAGGTTGTCTTATTTGGTATCTTTATCCTATGAGCCATCTTGTTGGCCATAGACTATTTAGATTTTTTGGAATATCAGAAAGATGATAGAGCATTATTCTCCATACCTGGTTCCCTAATTAGTTAAATTTTTTTTATTAATATACTTACCTTGGTTTTTGTTTTGTTTTGTTTTTTGCTTGTTGTGAGATGGTCTTACTCTATAGCCCTGCGTGCCTTTGCTTCTCAAGTGCTAAGACTAAAGATGTTCGCCATCACATCCATCTTAGTAATATAGTCGTTATCAGACCTGGTAGAGATTTGTATTTCCTGATTCTCTTGAAGCTTAGAGTAATACTGTATTATCTGTAATATCATTTGGGGTGCTGAGATAGGAGGATTGTCACAAGTTTAAGACTAGCTTGGGAGATGCGGAGCGCCGTTTGGCGCTGGCGTTCAAGCTGGGCTGGGGCTGCCGAGGTGCGGTTGCCGCGGTGCTGATGTGTGCCGGGAAGGTGGGGCGGAGGCATGAACCGAGCCACTGAGCGTTAGCGGGCGGGGGGCCGCAGGCAGGCTGATGGGCTAAGGGAGAGGCGGCGTGTGAGACGGGGTGACGGCAGGGACCAGCCCGGGCGGGGACCGGGACTGGAGCGGGGGGATCCCCGAGCAGCCGGCTGGTCCGGCTGGAGGGACGGGGTTAAGGTTGCGGTTCCATCTCAAAGATCTGAGCAGTCAAGGCCATCCATCCTGCGTGGAAGAGGACAGGTGGAAGTGTCCGGAAGCGTGAGCAACCAGCAGCAGGCGTGGGTCCCAGGAAACGGAAGAGTCGAAGGAGAAAGGGAGGTGTGTGTAAGTAGCTGACAGGGCCGAGTGACCCGGAAAGAAGGTCGGTGGAAGTGAAACGAGTGAAGTGTGGCCGGAGAGAAGAAGGTCTGCGGAAGTGGATAGAGGATCGAAGGAAAGCGGTGGAAGTGGCCGGGGCCTGGGGCCGGAAGGCAGCGGAGCCGAGCTCAAGCCTGAAGGTGTTTGGAAATTGGAAGACTTGGTGGCAAACGAAAGTCAGGACCCGGAGTCGGCCTCGGCGAGTGGGAGACGTGTTCGGGATGTGGGATCAGAGGTTGGTCAGATTGGCCCTGCTGCAGCAGCTTCGGGCTGTCTATGGCATTAAAGTCAAGGGTGGCCGCGGCCAGTGTGATCGCAGGAGACACGAAACTGCAGCTACGGAAATAAGGGGTAAGATATTTGGAGTTCCTTTTAATTCATTGCCTCATTCAGTTGTTCCAGAATATGGACACATTCCAAGCTTTCTTGTTGATGCATGCACATCTTTGGAAGAGCATATTCATACAGAAGGGCTTTTTAGGAAGTCAGGATCTGTTATCCGTCTAAAGGCACTAAAGAGTAAACTGGACCATGGTGAAGCCTGCCTGTCTTCTGCACTTCCCTGTGATGTTGCAGGTCTGCTTAAGCAGTTCTTCCGGGAACTGCCAGAGCCTGTGCTCCCGGCTGATCTGCATGAAGCTCTGTTCAAAGCACAACAGTTAGGGGCAGAGGAGAAGAATCAAGCTACATTGTTGCTGTCCTGTCTGGTGGCCAATCCTACAGCTGATATATTAAGATACTTCTTTAACTTTCTCAAGAATGTTTCTCTTAGGGCGAGTGAGAATAAAATGGACAGCAGCAATCTTGCAGTAATATTTGCACCGAATCTTCTTCAGACAAGTGAAGGCCATGAGAAGATGTCTGCTAACACAGAGAAAAAGCTACGATTGCAGGCAGCAGTAGTACAGACTCTTATTGATTGTGCATC